ATTACATGCCTGTCTATCTGCCTGAGTGACTGTCTGTCTGAATGCCTGTCTCTCTGTCTGGGTATCTGCCTGTCTGAATGCCTGTCTCTCTGTCTGAGTGACTGTCTGTGTGAATGCCTGTCTCTTTGTCTGGGTATCTGCCTGTCTGTCTGCCTGTCTGTCTGTCTGGGTATCTGCCTGTCTGAATGCCTGTCACTCTGCCTGAGTGACTGTCTGCCTGTCTCTCTGTCTGGGTATCTGCCTGCCTGAATGCCTGTCTCTCTGTCTGGGTATCTGCCTGTCTGAATGCCTGTCTATCTGCCTGAGTGACTGTCTCTCTGAATGCCTGTCTATCTGCCTGAGTGACTGACTGAATGCCTGTCTATCTGCCTGAGTGACTGTCTGTCTGAATGCCTTTCTCTCTGCCTGAGTGACTGTCTGTCTGTCTGTCTGTCTGCCTGTCTGTCTGTCTGGGTATCTGCCTGTCTGAATGCCTGTCTCTCTGCCTGACCGTCCTTTACACTCGTTACATCTTTAGAACTCTCACCCACTCTCTTCCTGACTGCTGTCTTCCCTTTGTCTTTTATTTCTGCACCCCTCCTCTCTTTCTCTATCCTTGTCCCTTTCACCCCCCCATATAAGGTACAGGTTTGTTCCAGTATGTCAGCTCTTTGACCCCCCGCCCCCTTTACATCCACCTTCTGAGATTACAGTCACACAGGGGTGATGAATCCAATCAGCCGTGTCTCTAACCCCGTTCACTCAGACACCTGCCCCGTGATCCCATTCAAATCGGGCCACTGGGGGACTGGAGGTGTGGGTCCTCGTATTCTGACCCCGCTGTGTCGCATTCACTCCCCTGGCCACTGTGTGCTTTATGTGATGGTACAGTGATGGTACAGGAAGTTCTCAGGTGAAACTTGACCCCAGAATAGGAAATGGCCAAGAAAGATGTCTGCCGATGTTCGACTCATTCTGAACACAGCTGGGTGTGACGCTGGTGCTGATTGGCTCTCCATCTCTGACTGTCTGTTTGTCCTCGGCCCTCCCAGCTGTACGTGAAGCTCCGCTGTGATGACACCGCCCTGCTGGAGCACGTGGACCAGCTGCTGGGGGAGCTGCACCCCGGCGCGGAGGAGGTGGGCTCTGAGGACGAGGACCTCCCTCTGGACAACATCGGTGACGACTTTGTACAGAGCAGCGACGAGGAGGCGGCCATGGAGCTCTGATCAGAGCCCCCTCCGCCCCCCACTCAGCTTCCTGTCTGCTTCCACCATTTTCACTGCCTTTGTTGCTGAAGCAGCGCCAAAGATTCGCCTTCAGGCCGGAGCAGAGCGACAGCCGAAAGCGCTCAGCTGTGATTCCGTGAGGGACGGAGTCGCACTGCAGCGGCCAGACCGCAGTGACAGATGGTGCTCAGATACCAAGCAGGTCTATAATCTTAATAAAGAGCCTGTAACAAAGACGGACCCAGTTGCAAGAAGAAAATTCTTTCTGGGATTAAACCCCTCCAGTTATACGCAGTCTCCTTCTTTGCTGAATTAATTTCTCTGCATTTTAAATCGGGATCATATAGGAAGTTAATTACCCTCATCATGCCGTACAGCCATAAATTCCTTAGGGCCTCCGTTTCATTACGAAAGTGTGCATGCAGGTTTTGGAAAGTCGGGTAGAAGCGCAGCCCGTTTGGGCATGGCTGTGTTTCCGGGGAGTAGCAGTGCCCGTTTGGGCATGGCTGTGTTTCCGGGGAGTAGCAGTGCCCGTTTGGGCATGGCTGTGTTTCCGGGGAGTAGCAGTGCCCGTTTGGGCATGGCTGTGTTTCCGGGGAGTAGCAGTGCCCGTTCACCTGCGTCTTTGTAAGAATAGCTACGTTTGGTAAAATGCTTTTGTAGCTGCCTCTGTTGTTCACTGCCCATCTTAAAGTCGATTCTGAGGGTCGTGTCTTCTCTGTGCCCAAGTGCGGCCCCCTTTAAAGGGGCCCGGCCCCCCCTCTGCACCACACATACCTGTTAAAGCTGCACGACACCCTCCTGAGGAATAAAATCCTCGGACGCTCATCAAGGCCACCGTGTCTTACAGCCTTAAATAGCCGAATGCCAAAGTCCTTCATGTCAGCGGCTGGCAGATGAGAGAAGAGAGCCTCAGGTAAACAGTGGGGGTGAGGATGTGTCACGGGGGGGCGGGTGGCGGGGGCTGGGGGTTTAAAGGGCCTTTGATGGGAACATCGACTGGTCAGAGCAGCAAATTCAGTCAAATGCACAGATCACACATCTCTGTGAACATTTCTTTAGTCCGGCAACCAGACGAAATGAAATATCCTGAGGAATAAGCCCATGCTAGTGGTGAAGGTGTGTCTTTTCTGAGTGGATGTCATCAACTTGCAAGAGGGGCGTATGGCTCTTTCCGAAGACCTTTTCCTGGCAGTCAGACCTGCTGCAAAATGACAGGGCTGGATGGGTTTTATACACGCTGCATTCCACATTTCGCTGTGTAATCTGTAAAATGTCGAACTACTTTATCTCAGAGTAATTTCCCCTTGCTGTCAATTATCTGTAAGCATGTTATTTGTGCTCCGCGGGTGACGGGGAGCCAGATTTTAACAGGCACCGATTTGCCAGTTGAAGTGGAGTGAGTGTGTGTCCGTTTAAGCTGGAGGTGCGAACGCATCTGTTTGAGGAGCTGGGTGGGGGGGGGGGGGGGTCGTCTCTGGGTAATTTCTTACCAAAGAGATGCTGAGGATGGTATGGCGACCAATGGCAGGCCTCGCTGTGGGTCAGGTGGTTTTGTTCCCACGGCAATGCAAAGAGGGGGGGAACCTGGAAACACCTACAGGCCAGACTGCTGCCGTGTAGTTCAGGCGGGGCCTGAGGCGTGACGCCCCCCACATGCTGATGCCGGTTAAAGTGGTGAATGGAGCGGGTGCCGTCGTCCTCGGAGACGCCTCAAATGGCCCTTGGTTCCCCAAAACCCACGCGGCCAGTGCCATCAGCACGCAGCCCCCCCCCGCACGGCCAGTGCCATTCCTGAAAGTTTGTTTCAGATCGAGCCAAATCTGGCTGTCCTGCCCCATCTCGGAGCGCAGATGTTTGCCACACCCCCTCCCGGACGATGGCGGAGGATAAAGAGCTCTGTCGCTGTTCCTGCAGCCCCCACCTGCCTCTCGGAACACCCCAGTCACATTTTTTTTAATCAGCTGCGGTTCATCTTGTAGCTGAAGGTGTGACTGCCTATTTGATGTGGTCAAGGTTGCAGAGGGCCAAATGCATGCCCCACCCCCTGCCCACGGCCGCTGTTTGGCAGACTGGGGGCACATATTTTTCCTTTATTGGACGTGAAGGCCGGAGCCCCCACCTTATAACTCAGCTTGTATGAGTATATAAAACACACGTCTCCGTTTGTGGGGGCCAGTGAAAGTGAGTCATGACTTTCTGCTGAACCATCCACAGCGGTAAGACCTGTGGACACAATTCCAGGCAGGATTTATGTTTGGAGCAGAGATGGGCCTCGCCGGAGCTGTCGGGACACTGTGCCTGGGCTGAACTCACGGTGAGTAACGGTATTTAGTGGGCCGAGCTTTAAGGCGTCTGCTTGGGGTGTGACGCGTCACACACACTCCAAATTAATAAACAGAATTAGATCTCCCAGTCTGGGCTGACTGGGTTGACATATTGGTCTGCACCTCCGCCTGAGAGATCAACAGTGTGTGGGGATGATGGAGCCAGAGCATGAGATTATACCACAACAGAGGCGAGAGCTTTACCATGGGCCTCATCTGAGTGAACCTTCCAGAAAAGGAGACGTGGAGTTTTGTGTAGCTCACCCCTGTGCTCCACAGAGCTCCTGTGGTCCTCTTCGGTTTCATGCACTTCCTGCATTATCCCGTTTGTCTCCCAATTAGACAACATTTTCTTCCCAGTATCATGATCATTTAAAGCAGGGGTGGGGAACCTGTTCCATGGAGAGTCAGTGTAAGTGCAGTAAAATGAAGAATAATGGACCAAACATGGAGCCTGGATGTACTCCTCTGTTTTTGAGTACTATTAGAGTACTATTAGAGTACTCTTAGATAAACACTTTTGTTTCAGATAACATATCCTGCCTGAGCATGCACACACCCACACACACACACACACGCATGTTGCCATGGATTCATTGAGAATGGGCCTTAATTCATTTCACTTTTAATGAAGAAAAGAAACAAGCTCTTTGTAGATTAAATCCATTGTTATGCCGTGTGAGGATGTGAAGTGTGAAGATGACAAAACAAAGGGGCTTTTCAAGCAATTAAACAAACATGCGGTGATAATCACTCCCTGTGCCGTACAGAAAGATTCATTTTCTTCGACCGTCCCTTGTGAAGGTTCAGCCAGGGAATGTGTGCAGGTATTTCACACGGACTAGTGGGTCTAATCAGAACAGCTGTAACCTTGCATGGTTAGCAGAGTCGTTCCTTCCAGGGACGGCGCCAGAACACGTGCAGCTGTGAGCGTAGGCCGCCTGCGGAGAGTCGCCGCGGTAAAGCCTGCTGCCGTACACCTGTCCCACCTTCAGCGGCAGCATGCTGATCATTCTTACGCCTGTGACACTGTATGTGTGACATGAATACGCCGTGTTCCTCCGGTGGGGGGGGCGTGTCACTCCAGGCAGCGAGCGGCGCATGTGGCACTTGGCTGTCTGATTGGTTCTCCCGCACGTTCCTGTCCCCACTCCCCTTTGCTTCGTTGTTTCTGTGTCACGGTTCGCTTTGTGTCGTCCTGCCACTGTCATGGGTCGCAAACAAACGTTACAGCTTTCAGGGAAGCAGTGAATATGCAGTGAAGTCCATTTTAAGCACATCCTCGTGCTCAGATTGCCGCCGCTGCCCCCATGCTGTGTGTTATATATATAAGGTTGTTAATAGTGGGGGCGAATGAATATGGGACCTAATTATCAAGCTGAAATCATTTGTGAACATCAGGAGGTGCCCGATCAGAAAGTGATCCTTGCTGTTCTTAATGATGACCTATTCCAGGCCCAGAACATCCCACGGCCAACATTAGCTTTATAACGAGTGCTCCAGGTATGGAAGTACCCCAGAGCTTCTGGGTGAGGAAGTGTAAGGTGCCCTCACCAGAGTCTCACAGAAGCCATCCGAATGAGTCCCGCACTGTGACAGGAGTGGAGCGGTAAGTCACTGGGTGTTAAAATCACAACTGTTTGAGGAATAAATATGGCAGGAGTTAGAGCGTTGGGCTTACGGCCGCCTGTCCCCGCCGTGAGGCACGCTGCTGGTCTGGGGGGGAGGTGCTCAGCCTGGCAAGCCGGCCCGGAGTCCCACAGAGCCACGGTACTGTACCCGATACGGCCCAAAGTGCCCACCAGGGATTTTTCTCTCAAGCTGAAAGGCTGGGTGACACCCAGCGGTGCCTTTGTGTTTTTTCAGTGTGTCTCTAGCTCTGGAAGCTTCTCCTTACTCCTTCCTGCTTGCCATTGGTCCCTCACCATGGGTCGCCTTGGGAAGTCGGGTAGCCTTGGGAATGTTAGGGAAGGGTCGGCCGTGCCCTTTGGTTTGGAACAATAGCGGCCTGGTTATGAGTGTGTGTTATTTCCCGGTGACGTCCACCGCGGCCTCCAGCCGCCGCCCGTGCGCGTGCAGGAGAGTTATTAACGGTGTCTGGCTGCGGATGTCCTCCATACGTGACACGGCTGGAATTAGGGGGGGGGGCTTTGCGTGCTGCTCGTTCTTTGTTACTCTAAACATTCCACCCAACAGAAACTCATGCAGACACAGAAAAGAAATAGCTCAGGACCCGACAGAAAAGCACAAGTGCAAACTTTCATGAAATACAAAATCTGACACAAGTGATATTTAAAAAGTTGGCAGCCTGAGTTGCAGGAAGCCGCGTCGCCTGTCTGTCATGTTTCGCTCGCTGACATGCTGCGGAGACGAGAACGTGAGCAGATCTGTCGTCCTGAGTCACTGCGACACACAACACACTGGTCTTGGCTGCAGAACCACTGCGTTTTACACACCTTGCCAATTGACAGTTTGTTTGCCATTTTTATTGCTGGTACTTTTGTTATTTTTACTACTACTGTCATTATTATTATTATGTATTTGTAGTAAGGGTATTAATTAATTACTAATAATATGTAGATATTCATTAGATAAATGCGTAAACATAAAGTGTAAAACCTTAAGTGATGCTTCCCTGTTCTGAAGTATGACTGCGATTTCAGTTCTGAGTGTCACGATTCCAGCCGGGAGGAGAAGCACGCGAATAAAAGCACACATAAAGAAACATCTAGATACTCACAATCTCGCCGAGCGATCTACGTGCCGCTAAATTAGAAAATAATCTCCGATCTGAGGGCACTGACGCTGATTAAACGGCTGCTTTGGCTGCCCTGGGGGGGGGGGGGGGGGGGTTTGGTTAAACGGGCACTTCGTGGGAAGGCGGGGGGGTCTTCCTGATGGAGCACAGGTGTG